AAAAAAAAAAAAAAAAGATCAAGTTCACACTTGGGTCTATTTTGGACCCAAGTACAATCCCAAGCACTCATCATTTATTCATCATTTAAATTTTCTTTTAATAAATGAAACATATTAGAGCATTTTTATTGGTTGACATGTATGCTAGACCTGGTATTTATTTTTGCATGGAATAGCTTTTGAGTTTTTTTACTTGGGTTTGTCCATATCATTTAGGACTTAAGTCTATTTATATGTCACATATGTAAAATTAGACTCAATACATTGTGGGTGCTCTAATTGATTATGTTTAAATACCATAATTACATACCATGTTTATGTTTAAATTAGTACGTAACCCCGTGCGATGCATGGGCTGTATTTATTTTGGTAAAATTTATAATTAAATTATTAATCAATAAGTTATAATACATAGAGTATTTATTAGATAATTGTATAATGTTCGTCATGAAAAAGTCATACATTATTAAAAACATCGTCATTTTTCCATGCAAAATTACATTGTACTTGGCAACCGTAGACCGACATTTACCAAGATTGTTCTCCACTTGGTAATTGCGAATTACATAGACACTTTCTTACTTTCTTATTCATTTATTTTTTTTGTTGATTTTCTTTATGTTAGCACCACAAATTAAAATTATAGTGTAAACATGTATTATTGTGACAAATACTAAAGATATGATTTATCTGGTGAAGTTTAATTTTATATAGAATATAAGAAAAGTTGTTACCTTAAAGTGTGAATTTTGAGTATATTTTTTTTTTTCAATTATTCTCGTTTTTTATTACAAATTCATTCCAATATTGAGAACAATTTTGTTTTTGTTATGTTTTAACAGAGATTTGGATTTTTTATTGTATCTTTTGTGAAACGATATTTACAAAAATAATTACTTTAAAAAAATGACAACAACGATATTTTATCATTTGTAGCTCAAAAAACTAACTAAATGAATCGGATGACATTAAATCACTATTTTTAAATGAAAAAATATTTCATAACTAAATTGATAAAAAAAAATGATGATACCGGGCGAATATATTGTAGTTAAGTTGTGGCTCAAAAAACTAACTATATTTTTTTACTTCTAGTTAAGTTGCATATATTGTATAACTATATATGAAAAAAAATAAAAATTTAAAGTTTAAATATGCGATTTATTTATATGTATATAATAAAGTGTACAACCCAGAAATAGAACTTCCGGGCGAACTTCTCATATGTTCCCCAATAATTAAATTTTTTATTTATCATTTATATTATTAATATTGATACCATGATTATGTAAAGTTCTACTCTCATTTTTACGACAAATTTATGTTATATTAAAATGAAATGAAAAGTCTAAAAAGAGATATAGATTGAATTAATAATATTGAATCGTAGTTAAATTATTTGATTCGATAATTAAATGATACTTCATAATATTTGATTCCATAATAACATTGCATTTAAATAGAATTGATTGTAAACAACCGCATTTAGTGTTTAATCAAATATTATGGAATATTTTTTTAAAACAATAAATCCAGTTGTCGAGGGAAGTTAAAACCGATTGCAATTAATGCTTCGAGGTTTGTTTTAAGGAATTGTGTAAAATTTCTATAATTAGAATGTAATTAATGCATAATGACAAAAAATGCTTATTATATTTGATTTACATTGTTATTTTATATATATATAGATATAGATAATGTAAAATAATATTGATATGGAAATATTATTTAAGGTAATTTATCAGGAAAAGAGTAAAATAACCATTTGTAGTTATAAGAATACAAATGATTAAATAATATTTTTTTAATAAATTTGTAAAATGTTTGATTCATTGTATTAAAAATTCTAAAACATAAAATAAATAATATATATATGTATATATATTAATTTGTGGAAGGATAAATACCTTTTAGGTGTAAGAGGTCAAACGGGAAGCAGTGGAGATGCACTGCCATATCCATGCTGAAATTATATTATTCCATAGATTTTGCCTACATATTAGCAAATTGAGATTATATCAGTTTATTCATAAAATTCTGAATGTACCATTTTATTTCATAGATCAATATCTAACCAAATTTTGAAAAGTGAATAAAAAACAAATTGTATCAATTTATTTCTAAAATTCTGGATAATCATTGATTTCTTATCCAAAATTGTCCTAAAATTCTAAATTTAGCATGTAATTAATGAATTTGGTGGGAAAAGAGTTTCTAAAAGTAAATTATTTTAATCCTTATTATATATTAATAGATACTATATTTTTTGAATCTTACAAATTATTTAAGACAAATTCTCTAATGCCAAAATTTCATTACACACCAAACGCC